TGCCTCTCCAGCGTCCTGCTCTTGCTGATGCGTCTCCTCCTTGTCAAGTTGATCTTTTCCCATCTCTTTTGCATCTGCAACCGTGTTGACATCTTCTGGTTGCCTCTCTCCAGCAGCAGTTGCTTTTTGATGCTGCTCTTCACTGCCATTTTGCCTCTCCACCACTGATGACTCTTCCCTGATGTGCACATCGGCTTGGCATGCTTCATCCATGTGTTCGTGCTTTCGGTGATACGTTTTGTGCGCGCGGGATTGCAGGTCAATTGTGAAAAGTGAAGGACAACTAAAGCTCAAGTGATAAACTTGATGAAGTTTCCCTGGGTGTCATGGACTCACCAGCTTCACCGCTAACCCAAGCATGCTAAAGCCGAACAGCATGAAACATGGGGTCAAGAGCGGGTCAATTGAAAACGGCTTGGATCGCATGATTGGTCATGCTTCAACGTCTCGAATCTCAAATCATGCAATCTGAAGTCTTTCAGCACGCACGAGGCAGCCATCTAACGCCTCCCGCACCTGACAATGGAGTGGCTGAAAATCGCTGAATTGTGAACCAACGAGAAGCTTAAAACTATGTCCATGCAGGTTGGGAGTGGGAAGTCTCAGGCCTTTCGTTCATCGCCTTCCTTCAGGGCTGCAGCAGCCTTGAGGCAAATGTCGCCACACCAATTCGGATGCTGTTAGGTTGGAGGCCATTGCACTTAGGTTGGAGGCCGTTGCACTTAGGTTGGAGGGACCATTGCGATTGGGTTGGAGACGATTGCTATTAGGTTGGAGGCCATTGCTATTAGGTTGGAAGCCATGGCTATTATATAGGTTGGACGCCGTTGCTAGTAGGTCGAAGGCCATTGCTATAGGGTTTGAGGCCATCGGTAGTGGCTTGAAGGCTATTGCTATTAGTTTGCAGGCCATCGTATTAGGTTGGAGGCCATTGCTAGTAGGTTGAAGGCCGTTGCTATAGGGTTTGAAGCCATTGGTAGTAGGTTGAAGGCCATTGCTATCCGTTTGCAGCCCATCCCTACTAGGTTGGAGGCCATTGCTTCTAGGTTGGAGGCCATTGCTATTAGGT